TTTGCTAGGACAAAGGTAAGCTTTCTTTTCACAGCATTGTAGTGGACCTCATACCTTGCAGAAGTTCTTGGTGGAAGTAATGTAGAAGTCTTGTACACAGGCGGATAGCCAAAGATCTTCCCATTGCCTACCCGTGGTTCTCCAGCTCTGTTGGTGATTATCAAAAAGAATTACCAGACCAGCTGGTGGTGTGCTGGTTAAGGCACTGGATCCCACATGGCCAGCTGAGTGGTTTGAATCTCAGACCTGGTGACTTGAAAACACACCAGGTCCATGTGCCTATGTGCCCAAAGTTCCGAGGAGAGAATGGAGGAGAAGGGATTGCAGTGTGGGTATCCCCCTGAGGAGTGCTTTCTTACTTTCCCTGTCTCTCTCTGGTGAGCATGTATACCCAGTAGCAAATGGGAAAGGGGGGAAAAAAAAGAAGGAATCACCAGGGAACTTGTTGAATGCTGCTTCCTGGGTCCCAGTTCAAGAGAGTCTTAGTCAGTGGATCTTAGGTAGAGCCTGGTGACTATATTTTTAATAAGTACTTCACGTGGTTTTAATACAGATGAACCAAGGACCATGTCCTGACATAAATTTTACATGTGTTTCCAAGTGAGAATGATTTTTTATATGGATATGTATTTTTTTAAACATTTATTTATTTTTACATTTTCAAAAAAAAACATTTACTTTACATATCAAAAAATGTTTGCTCAGACTCCATTGTTCTTGACAGTTAATAAAACAACTTTCCAAATTTCAAGACATTGAACTTAAAGGTCATTATCATAATATTTGTTATAATTTTGTTTGTGTATATGTAGTATGTATTTAGATCAGCAGGCCCTAAATTGATTTCAGAAAATACTAGAATTGAGGCTAAAGGACAGAATTGTATTTTGTTGTGGGTCTTCAGCCTTCTCAGATGTGGGTAATAAAGTTAGCATAAAAGCACATTAACAGACAGTGGTCTTGCTAATACAAAGAGCTATAGAAAATTTGAGATCTAGAGCAAGGAGAGAGAGAGAGAGGAAATGCGTGTGGGTAAGTATGCATGCACCTGAGCCCAGATACATATCCCCTAAAGGAGCCTTGGGGCTGGAGGGTGGTGCAACCATAAGACATGGTTCTGTTTGAGGCAGCCCTACATGCGGATGCTCCAGGTTGGTGATTAGAGGGAGGGGCTGGCTGAAGGTAGATCGTGGCATCAAGACCTTGCTGGTAGCTCAGCCGTTATGGTTCACTCAGTAGTGTGTGAACTGCAGTCCTGGAAGCCACGTGGCTGTCCATAGTTCGAATCTCCAGCCTGGTTGACCTGAAGCAAACAGAGTGCCAAGAGTGTGCCCAAGATTCTGATGAGTTGGAGGGCTAGGTGAAGGGGGTTGCAGTGTGACCAGACCTTGTGAGGGTGCTTCTCTTACTTTCAGTCCTGTGTGCATATGAGCTCTCTATTTAAAAAAAAAAAAAAAGGGGGGGGAATTTTTGTTGGGGTTGATGTCTCTCTTTTTCTCTCATGGAAGAAATAAGCTTTTTTTTTTTTTTTTTAAGTTTTGCTAGCAGTCATGTGCACTCCCCAGAAATCACTCCCCAGAGGGCTAGCCAGGCCGTAGTTCCATTTTGTCGAGGTTTGGGGCACACACACACACACACACACATGTGCCTGGTGTGATTTTCAAGCTGCCAGGTCTGGACTTGAACCATGCAGGTAGCTATGTGGGATCCAGCACCTTAACCTCCATGTCTCCCGCTGGCATGAAGTAAACTTTTTTAAAAAGTAGCCTCATAACCTTAATGATCTTTGATTAAATCCACCCTGCCCATAGCTAATTGAAGCTAAATGTAAGTTAAAACTCGACTGTATTTGTTAGTGTTTTGTGGAAGCAGTATTGGAGGTTATTGTACAAGCCCCCTGATTTGTATAGATATAGAAACTGAGACCCCAGGAGAAATGTTTACAACTCAAAGACAAATGTTTACACAAGTAATAGATGCACAGCTGGGCCTCAGTCCTGTAGCTTCAGATTCTCCACCTACTTTTTTTCCCTTAGGCTTTTCCCATAGGACACATGTGCTCACCCTTGAGAGAGAGAGAGAGAGAGAAATCACTCCCCAGTGGAGATGGCCACACTGCCAGCACACACGCCAGGCACGATTTTCAAGCCGTTGGGTCCAGGATTCGAACCACATGTGGAAATCCAGTACCTTAACTACTGTCACCTGTTGGCCCAGATTCCCCTTCTTTGAAATAAAGAGAAATAGCTGTCCCCACTTGGTTGTTATAAGGATGTTTGAAAACTGGAGAGAATTCTATAGATGAGATCCTAATTACTATGCATGCCATGTTTTATTCTAACTAAAGTACTCAGAACCAGGCTGGGAATCTCCTTTTTTTTGGAGAGGTTTTTGTATAGGGCGCGTGCGCTCACCAGAAAGATAGAGAAAGACAGAGAGATAGAAAACGAGAAATCACCCCCCAGGGGAGATGGTCACGCCGCTGTTCCTTCTCCTTCACTCTCCTCTCGGGATCTTGGGCACGCACGCACACGCGCCCGGCGTGAGTTTTAAGCCACCAGGTCTGGGACTCGAACTGCCGTCGACTATGTGGGAGTCCAGTGACATAGCCATTACGCTAACTGCTGATCCCCACTTTTTATGGTCATTACGGTGAACTTTGAAAGTACAGATAATTAAAAGAAAGACAACTTTCGATAATCTATATATAATCCCACCACTTAGATGATCACTTTTAAAATTTTGATATAAAGGCTTCTAGCTGTTTTCATATACATGCATATATGCATTTTACCACAATCAGGTTATACTGGTGATACTGTTTTGCTTTTTTTTTTGCTTTTTTTTTTTATTTTAAGTTTTTGTTATAAAGTGCATGTGCTCACTCGAGAGAGACGGAGAGAGAGAGAGAAATCACCCTTTGGGGTGACGGCCATGCCGATACACAATCCCTCCTTGTCCATTCTCCTCTTGAGATTTTGGACATGCACACACACACACACACACACACCCCTGGCATGTTTTCGAAACTACTGGGTCTGGGACTTGAACCATGAAGTCAGCTATTTGGAATTCATCTGGCACCCTGCTGCCAGCTAGCCTGTGTGTGTGTGTGTGTATGCCATTGTTCTAAATTACTGATAATATCCTATTATATGGACAAAAGAACATTTAATCAGTCTCTTATTGGGGCTAAAATGATAAAAACATAGGTTTTTCATATTATTATATCTGCAGTTAACCAACAGGGTCCAGCAGATGGCCTAATGGCTATGTTGCTGGACTCCTACATGGCCTTACAGGGCAGACCCTGATCCAAGTCCTGGACCTGGCGGCTTAAACCTCACACCAGGTGTGTGTGTGTTCATGTTCAAAATCTTGAAAGGAGAATCAAGGAAAAGGGATTGAAGCATGGTCATTCCCTCTACGGGGTGATTTCTCGCTTTCTGTCTCTCTCTGTCTCTCTAATGAGCACATGTGCCCTATAGCAAAAATCTCTCTAAAAAAAGAAAAAAGATAACCAACATATTGCAGTAAACTCATATTGAAGTGAGTGTAGGTTTTAAAACATATTTAATTCATTCATTTATTCTTTCACTTCAGTTGCCAGAGGGTCCATGCACTTGCCAGGAAGAGACAGACAGAGAGGAGAAGATAGCATCCCTCCGTGGGCCCAAGAGGCATGATCATATCATAATTCCTTCTCCATTCCTCCATCCCGTCAGGATTGGGGCACACAATCCTGGCATGTTTTTCAAGACACCAAGGCTGGAATTCAAATGCAGCTGACCATGTGGGATCCAGTTCCCTTAACCATGGTGGAGCCCAGGCCAATATATTACTCATTTTTATATCCAGAAATCCTACCTTTATGCCGTGGAACTTCCTGGCGCCTGTGAGTCAGGCATACCTCTGTTGGTCTGCTCTCTGCCTTAAGTTCAAAGCAGTAAGTTCTGACCGTTCTGGTTTTGGGGACTTCTCTGATTCCCTCCAGGCCAAGTCATATTGTGATTTCCAAGTGACCTTGTGGACTTAGCATCCTTTTCTCCCTCCCAAGAATTACCTATCCAGTTTTGGCAAACACCTTTCCTTTTATTAAGCAAAGTTCATAATCAGTAGAGTGACCTTTCACATTCTAAGTTCTTAAAATCATTCTTTCTTAAGTTAAATGGCATGTTAGGAGTATTTCTGATACAAAATTGGAAACTTTGAGATACCAGGAGGCATTGCTTATCTTTGTAAATACACATGTTCCAATTAAAATAGGTACTAAAATATTTTGTTGGCACTTCAAAACTCCCAATTTAGATTTAATTTAGATTAAAACACTTACTCTTTTTAATAAAGTTATAAAATTGATTATTAAAATTGCCTATTGAAGATTAAAAGCAGTGGAACGTTTATTTTCCTTACAAAACAATTTAGTCTTCAATAAGTATGATTGTACTAATCAATTATGCTATTAAAATACAACTGCCATATTAAATCGGACTCATTTGTTATGACAGTTTCTATAATTATAGAAATTATACCTAGCTGCTTATATAGCCATAATCCTGCAATAAATATAAATAATTGTCTCTATTAATTCAGTCCGCTGTTACTGTCTATTAAATCCCCAGTTAAATGGCAATTTAGGGACCTTCATTTAAAATCCTCCTAAATCTTTGTTGTTCCATCTGACTGCCAAAGCCCTACAAATGCACCTCCTACTGTTGATTCCAGAAACCAATTTATGAATAAAATAGTTTTTTAATACAAACATTTTAAAGGTCCATTTAGGCTGGTGGTTCAAGGCTCTCAGGAAAACAAGAAAAGGGGGTGGTCAATGTTTTGGGTAGAGAGTGTTGACAAAAGACAACAGATGTTGCTGCCCTGGTGTTTCCATGTGGAAAAGAGCATATACATTTCTCTGTGCAAAATTCTGCATAGAACTTCCTATGGACACCCCAAGTACTAAATATCTGGTCAAGTAACCGTGCCCAACTTGTGCTTCGTAGGTGTGGACGAGGTCACCATTGTCAACATTCTGACCAACCGCAGCAATGCCCAGAGACAGGACATTGCCTTCGCCTACCAGAGAAGGACCAAAAAGGTGAGGCCATTTCAGGAACGGAGGGCATTCCTTGTGAATTTCAGTCTCTTCAGACATTGCCTTTTCCTTTTGTAAAGTGTGGCTCTTATCAGCAAGAGCCTCCTGGGACCCTTGGGGTGTTCGAGGTTTTCCTCTTCTGTTCTTGTGAGACTGTCCCACCCGGTCCCTGGTGTGCTTTGGAGCTCATACATAGGCCCCGCTCTCCGCCAGCTGGGAGTGCGTGGAGGCAGCAGTCCTGGGACTGGGACGGGGAGTTAGACAGGAGGTAGGAGTGAGCACAGTGACAGGTACCCCCACGGAGTGCTCTGCCCTGTACACATGGCACTCATTCCATCCGCATGACTTCTGCTGGCTTTTGATGAGTTTAATTTCTTCTTAGGACAGTAGACTCTGTGGGAGTGGTCCTAGCACACTTCTCTCATTCTGAAAAGAATGCACTTGAATGCTTTTTTTTTTTTTTTTTTAAGGTTTTTGCCATAGGGTGCGTGCACAGAGATGCAGAGAAACAGAGAGAGGGAAAGCAAGAAATCACCTCCCAATGGGGATGGCCACACCACCATCCCTTTTCTATTCTCTTAGGATTTTGGGTATGCACGCACACTTGCCCAGCATGATTTTCAAGCTGTCTGGTCCAGGACTTGAACCACGGTTGATCATGTGTGAATCAAGCACCTTAACCACCACATCACCTGCTGGCCCCACACTTGAATTCTTAAAAGTTTTTCAACAAATGGCTTAGGTAGTGTCTGTTTGGCCTACAGGGCTACCTTGAACACACATGCCCCCGCTACTTCAAGATCTTTATATGCTTGTTCTTTTGCTTTTCCACTAGTGGTGAGGGAGCAACCAGCAGCCGTTCATCCTTTATTTTGTTGCAGTGTTAGAAAATTTTATTTTTAAGGACGTGCTGCTTTATTTTTAACTTATTGCTATAAAAAGCTTTTGATTTATTCTTGGACAGTGTAGTAATTAAGTGTGACTTCCCGCAGCTCCCATTTGACTTATGGCTTTCACTTGTAGCCACAGCAGAGGCGAGTTGGAAGGATTCTGGAAGGGACGCTTCTGCTCTTGGGGTTGACGTGACCACCAGAGCCTGGGGAGCTACAGGTCAAGCCTTGCTTTAGTTCCTCCTCCCCCCTCCAGAACAGTTGGAAAGGACATAAATAGAAAAGCATCTGACTTCTTTCAGCTCATGTGCATTACAATTCTTCTCCCACTATACTTACATTAATCCTCTGTAGCGGAGCGTCGAGGGGAGTATTTTATTTCTCCAGCTGCCCGAAAGTATCTATGAGCCAATTTCCGTCGGAGCAGAAGGCCCATCTTTTTGAACAGGGCAAATCATTGCTTTTTCAGCTGTCACTCAGTGTGGCTTTGGAGCATGCTTGGGTATGTCCACTCAAAGGTAGCGCAAATACAAAAGCTCAGATCTCGATTTCACATGCGCTGGAGAACAAAGCTCTCACGTCCCCTGTTGGAGGGGAGGTACTACTGGAATCACGATGGAGTTCGGGGACCTCACAGGCTTTGCTGTGTGCTGAGGGCAGCTCACTGTTCTACCAAGTGTCACTGACTCTCAGCCTTCGGCCAAGGAGAATGGCAAAAAGGTACATAAACTATTCGAGATAGTTTCTGAAGGAAGTGCTAGAAATAGAACTTTATCTTTTCAATGTGCAGTTTGCAGAGTGCTTTTGGGGTAGGGACTGAGGCTGGAGGCTGCCTAGGTGTGCGGCATGAAGAGGCCAGCACAGGTAGCAGGATGGCGTGGAGCTGGTTCGGAGGACTCATTTATGTTTCTTTCGTCTTCAAGCAGATGCCACGTTTCCCCATGTTCGAGTGGTTATGTTGTATTTATTGAGCATTTCTGGAGTTGGTTAAGTGCAGAGCCCTGTGTGGGACAGTATGAGAAACAAGAGGTTGGGCACCCATAGGAGTTTAGAAGTGGAAGAAGGCAGAAGGCGCCCAATGCTATTTGAGGTTCAGAGAATGGGTAGAGGGGAGTGTCAAGGGTAGGCTAAGTTTGGCATGACCTAACCTCAAAGTTCCAAAGTGGAAACCTGGTGTTGTCATTGGGAGGTGTCACTTTGCAAAGTCCCCTCCTAAGGGCTTTGTGTAGCTAGGACATCAGGAAGCAGGAGAAAGGACGCGGTGAAAGGGTTGGGCCAGAAACTTTCTAAGATCTATGTCAACTCTGCCATTCTCGATGTCTGTAAAGGATTCACAAGGTTGTCTCTGAAACAGGCTGCAAATCACTTCTGCTAGCCTGCACATGCCTCTGGGGGCTAACATTGAAGATGCCACGGGTTAGAGAGCAGGAGAGAAAGAAGGGAGAGAAGAAAAGGGAACAGGAGAAAAGAAAGAAGGAAATAATTACAGGGGGAGAGTTCAACCCTCACCCCATACCCATAATCTGTAGGAAGTTTAATCGCTGAGGAAGCATCTTTAAAAACCAAGTTGAAAAGGTGTTTGCTCAGGTGGGGACCGACTCTGCCCTCTAACTTGTATGCATGCGTTCGTGGTGACAGTGGAACCATAAGAAATCATACGTGGCAGGGAAGTCGGGGGGTGGGGTGGATAGAGGGCTTTAGTTTTCCATCGTGTTTACCTTCACTGCCCCAGTTTGGTATTGACAGGTGAGAGTTATTCGGAATTAGATGAAGTGTTCGCAGAGAGAAGCCTCACGGCCCCTCTTCCAGCCATGTGGGGGCCGTGGGTTCCTTCAGGAGCTTTAGCAGAGCCACTAGGAGCAGCTGTACCATCTTTTCCAGGACAGTATCAGCAGGTCTCTGGATCCCACGCAGCTGTCCACGCCAACCCCTGCTCCTTAGCAGGGACCTTGTCCTGGGAACGTGCCATGACTTCCATGGCGCTGTGATTTTCTTTCTTTTTTGAGATTTTTTTTTTTCTTGCTGTGGGGCACGTGCATGCACTCACCAGAAAGACAGAGAGACAGAAAATGAGAAATCATCCCCCAAGGGGGGATGGCCATGCCGCAAGCCCTTCTCCTCCATTTTCCTCTCAGGATCCTGGGCACACACGCACACGCGCCCAGCATGAGTTTAAGTCACTGGGTCTGGGACTCGAACCACGGTCAGCTACATGGGAGTTCAGCGACATAGCCATTGGGCTAACTGCTGGTCACATGGTGCTGTGACTTTCTAGGCTATGGTGCAGTGCCCTCACTCTCACAGCTTCCCGAGGGATTGCAGTCTACCCCAGTTTCCTTCCAATGACTGAGGGAGAAGACAAACTCCGCTGATGTCGTAAAGGATTTTGTTAACGCAAAGCCTGATGTTAAGGCTGAAGGGGATACAGTTGAGGGAGTTTGTCCCAGGACCCCAGCACGGTCAAGTTTACAATTTGCTTTACAAACAAGTCCCCCTTATTTTTGTTTCATTCACTAATCTGAACGTGAATATTGGTTACCAACCAAGTTTTCCATGTGGCTGCCTGTCTTCCTGCAGGAACTTTCATCGGCACTGAAGTCCGCCCTGTCTGGCCACCTGGAGACGGTGATTTTGGGCCTATTGAAGACACCTGCTCAGTATGATGCGTCCGAGCTAAAAGCCTCCATGAAGGTAAACACGTGTGAGATGTTGACGCCGTCCGATCTGCCGTTAATATTTGTGAATTACAGCTTTCTGAGTGTAATTAGGTGATTTGCAGTTTTGTTGAATTCTCATTTGGAACCCTTTTTTTTTTCCCCCCCAACAAACTAAAGCTATCAGTCTCAGGATTTGTACCAAAAATATTTCAATTACTTTTTTAAGACTGTAAAGAAATTTCATGATGCTGAGAAGTCAGTTACCAGCTGCTACTACTCGGCACCTGGGCAATTGAAATACTATTTGGGAAAACTACTTCCTTGATTACACTTCCTCCTTAAAAAAAGATGTTATGATATTAAGGCAGAAGAAAAACCCATAGCTTTTGTTAAGTGGAGCTGGCAAATCCTGCCCGTGCTCTTGTGGGCTTTTCTTCCTCCAACCCTCTCCCTGCCCATCCTGTTACTGGTTTCAAGTTTGGACAAAATCACATCACCACAGTCCACAGAAGAGGGGCTCTCAGATGGCGAATGGTGCCCATGTTTCATTCCAAGTCTGCTTTATCTTTCATGTTTTTCTTTCTCTGTTCTTACTTAGAACATGGACTTTTATGGAATTTAATAAAGATTCCAGGTGGGAAGCCCTCTGAATTTTGCGCACACCCGTAACATCAAGTACTGTCCACACGTGATCAATGCACAGACACAAACGCCTTACAGCAGAGCTATGGCCCTCTCAGTGTGTGCCTGCAGCACTCCGAATAATCCGATACTGCCCTCTGCTGGTCGGTCTGGGCACATCCTCCACAGAAGCTGGGCAGCCATAGTCCTGATTTTTTATTCTAAGTGTCCAGTGTGTTTTCTGGGATGCCACTGTTCCCTGAATTATGACGAGGTCAACTGAAAGCCTATTACCAGAGCTAATGTCGCAGTTCAATTGTCATCCCTTTCCCCAGAGAGCACTCAGGGAGTGAAACCACTTCACACACTGGACCATTTCCAGGGTCTTGAACTCAGAACTCAGGGCTGCTGAGAAACGGGTGAAATCTCTTTTTTCCTTCAGTTCCTTATTGAGGCCAGCTATGCTCAGTTGTTTGAGCAAACATGCTCTGAGTTTCCTAAGTAGGCTGTACTGCAGGGAAGTATAATCAAGAATGATAAAGTGTCAACAACATTTAATGATCTTGATAAAGAAAAGCGAGGCTTGGGACCTGCGGCCTCGTGGATGTGCTGTCCTCTCAGGTTTCTTCTGACCATCAGCACTTCAGATCAGGTTATCTTATTGTCATCAAGAATTCATTTAGCTGTGATTCGTGTGGTTTTTACTGATCTATTACTGGGTATTAGTGACCTGAAACAGACCTGCTGGAGCTGTCAGTCACCGTCATAGTCTAGGTAACTGGGCCCGAGGAAAGGTGCTTTTACTGTGCAGTCTGACCCTGCGCCAGCCCTTCATCAACTGTCCCAGTAGAGTGCCCTTCTGAAATCCACAAGGCTCGAAGCGACATTAACTGAACTATGCTTAAAAAAATAATCCAAAAGCCTGCTTTGACTCCTGGCAATACCAGTGGCAGTATCTGCCAGATGTCGTACAAGAAATGGCCCTTGTGATAGGAATTTGTGGAAATCTGTGGAATGCTTAAGCCAAATTATGGAAATTGCCAAAGTCACCTTGAGTATAGAGCTAAAAACACTTAAAATTCTCAAATATTAACACTGCTATATCTGAAGGAAGGAAACAAGTCTTTTTTTTAGAGAGGTTTTTTGCTATAGGGTTCATGCACTTGCCAGAGAAACACAGAGACAGAGACAGAAAGTGAAAAATCACCCCGCCAGGGGAGATGGCCATGCCACGGTCTCTTCTCTTCCATTCTCCTCTTGGGATCTTGGGCACGCATGCACATGCACACAGCTGCCAGGTCCAGGACTCGATGTGCGGTTGACTACGTGAGAGTCCAGTGACGTAATCATTGCACCATCTGCTGGTCCTGGAAACTAATCTTAAATTTCTATGCCTATCCTGCATTTCTGCAATATCGGGATATAGCATGTCTTCAATGCATGAGTTATTTTTAGACTGTTTTTCTATTACCCTTCACATTGAAAGACTACACCTTCCTAAAATATTCAAAGATGTTCAATAGTCATTTTGAAACATTTGTATAGGACGCTATATGGACCTTTAGCTAACCAGGGAAGAATTTTGGGCTTTGCTAGAACCTCTACAAATTATGATAAAAAAAACTCTGGAAGAAGGGCCATCAGCTCAAAGACTAGATTAAGAATAAAATTCAAAATTAACCATTAACCTGAGGCTTAGCTTATATTACACAAACCACTTTTTCAGGGGCATATAAACTCTAATAAGTTTAATTAATAGCTGACACACTTTTCATGTGGATAAGTAAGTTTCTTATTGTATTAACACCTTATAATTGATTTACATTTTAAACAGTTGTAATTCTACTTAGTTCAAAGTGATATTTCCATATTCGGAAAGACAAGTATTAAAGAATCCTGATTATTAAATCTTGACTTTGATCACAGAGCCAGCTTTGAAATACATGTTTCATTGGGTCCTTTCAAGCTATCTAGCACACTCAGAGTGTATGTATTAAATTTGAATACATCACCCATCAAATTCTTCTTCCTTAATAGAGGGTCGGTGTCGTGGTTTACTTGGCACTTCATTATTTCCTTTTGCTTCCCTAAAATGCCCGAAGAGTGCATAATCATCAAGCAGAAATGGAAGAACAGGAATGAAATTTTTAACATTAACCCAATTTTACATTTCAAAGAGATGAAGCTCAAAAATTGATCTTACCCATACCTTTCCCTGGTAAAGGACTTATTTGAATCTAAAATGGCTGGCCGCACATGACAACAGAAAATTTCCATAGCCCTTTATTTTAAATTAGTAAAATGAATTGTTTAATGAGAAACATTATTTCTCATCTGTTACAATAGTGAATGCTTATTAGAGAAGGGGAAAAAGAGGAAGAAGAAAACAAATCACTTTATAAACCTTTCCCAAAGGAAACCACTTGTAGCATCGTGGTGTACTCCATGGCTCTTTCGCTTTCCGTTCACTCTTTTTTCAAACATCGTTTGACTCTGACATGCCACTTACATCATCTCGTGCTCTGGTGAAGCACTGTTTTAAGGAATGGGATCTGGCATTACTTTGTGCTGAGGAACTTACAGAGGTCTTCAAAAAGTCCATGGAAAATGGGCATTATGAAAAGCTATGATTGGCTTTCAAATTTAGTGGGGGAGGGCACTCACACTTGTACTTTAATTCCATCTTTCCACAAATGTTTTGCTACATACCTTTTTTGTTTGTTTTAAAGAATGATTTTTACCCAACTTTATCCATTTATTTATTTTTAATTTGACCAGAGAGGGACAGAGTGAGGGAGAGAGAGAGAGAGGGAAAGTAAGAAAGCAAACCGCCAGATCCGGGACTTGAACTGTGGTTGACCATGTGGGAGTCCAGCATCCTTAACCGCCACGCCAACTGCCAGCCCTTCCACATATTTTTCGAAGGCCTTTTTAGTGCAGATTCCTCAGTAGTAACGCATCACTAAAAAGGCGAATGCAGACCTAGTGCTTGTCTGCCATGTGCCTGATGACGATTCGAGTGCGAGACTGGTGCCCCGACCTTCCCAGCTGGTGAACCACTTACTGCTTTACAGGGGCTGGGAACGGACGAGGACTCCCTCATCGAGATCATCTGCTCAAGGACCAACCAGGAGCTCCAGGAAATTAACAGGGTCTACAAGGAAAGTGAGTAGCCCCCATTTCTGTGGTTCTTTCTCTCAGTCCGATGTCTGTGACTCTGTCATGTTTACTGGGTTAGCGTTTGTACAGTTTACAGATGTACAGGACTACTCACCATCTTGGCTGTTCAGTGAGGCTGGCCATGGTTCAGGTCCCTCTCCTCCACCTTATTGTCTGCATTTTTTTTTAAAGTTTCCCCATAGGGCACGTGCACTTACCACAGAGAGACAGAGGGAGAACGGGAAAGTAAAGAATCTCTCCCAGGAGGATGGCCTGTTGCAGTCTCTCCTCCTCCTTTCTCCTCTCGGGATTTTGGGTGCACACATTCATGCCTGGCGTGTTTTTCTAGTCATTGGGTCTAGGACTGGAGCTACAGAGTTGGCTATGTGGGAGCCAGTTCCCTTGACCACCACACCACCAGCTGGCACTGCATGTTAATTTTCACATTTCACTAGAACTTCTGCAAAAAACAAACAAACAAAACAAAACAAAACAAAAAAAGACTGGAGGGAAGGAGAGAAAATAAGATCTATTTTAAAAACAGATCTGGTGGTGAGAAGTAGAAAGTGTTGTATGTGGATTCCATGTACTCGGTGCTGTCCGATTTCTGCTTAAGAGGTTCCCAACTCTGGACTGTGGATAGCTGTTATGTTAAGAGACCTTTGTGCGCCAAGCCTTGTAGGAGGCTATGGGTAGAATGGATACATAATGCAGCTTACATGGCTAGTGCATTTCAACACAGATGCTATTCTGAATAAGGAAACACAAACTCATACAAGAGCATTATTTAATTCTTACTAGTTTTTGCCATTGTGCATTTTAGTCCAAAATTTGGGGAACCAGTATTTTAGCTACCCAAGAGGTCACTGATCACAAGTGAGCTTGAGGATCCCTGATCCGTTCTAGTCCCGGATAACTCTGGTCCTGGTTTCATGTGGGTAAAAATCTAGACTCTGCCCTGAGTTGGGTTGAAGGAGCCTGGATACAAACCGGCTGACATGGCTGTTCCTGCTCGTGGGAGTCTTAGTTGGGGAGAGGGGCCCTGGGCTGGGCGGCTGGTGGTCTGCCTGGGCAGGAGGCATCAAACCGGATGTGTTGCTTCCCAAGTGTACAAGACCGATCTGGAGAAGGACATCATTTCCGACACCTCTGGTGACTTCCGCAAGCTGATGGTCGCCCTTGCCAAGGTTGGTTTCCTTGCTGGTGGGTTTCTTTGCCCTTCCTTCCTCCCAAGGCAAGTCACATACCTCATTCTGTACGTGGTGCGAATTAGCTAAATCCCTGTACCTGCATCAGAGTCTGCTGCGTGTCCGACCGTGGTCTGCACTGTCACTGCAGAGCTGTCGTTTTGTATAATGGGATTTCTTATCCTGCAAAACCACATGGACGAGTGGACTTTGGGGGCCGGGAGAGGAGGAGGCGGCCCTCAAGTCCTGGCCTGGATTTATGTGCCAGTCCTCCCCGTGTGACTCTGAGAAGGTCACTTTGCCTCTATCTGGAACCACGCAGGACCTGGTGGGAAGTGACCCTCTTGTTCTTTGACCTGCTTTCATGCCTTCTGAGAGGGTGTGCTCATGCAGGCCTTTGTCTGGAGTGGGGTCTTTATGGAGCTGATGGCTAATGTCAACATATTCCCGTGGATGAAAGGCTTGCCCCCTGGGAATCTCCAGCCCTGGCCAGTGTACACTTTAATGCCTCCATGCCAGGGGTGGGAAGAGGAATTTTCTCCAGAACCCTGATGACAGGTGACTGTTGCCATGCCACCTCCTGGACCCTCACGTCTCTGGTACCACAGCTGCCCACTCTCCTTTCCTAATCCGCCACACCACCGCCACCCAGCCTGCGTCCTGCCAACCACAGACCTTGTTAAAATCTACTTTTACTATTTTAATCCACCAAAACTCTTTTCTGCTGCATCAAATCCAAACTCTCCACTGCCTTTAAACACCCTGTGTGCCCCAGCCTTCCCCACCTTCCTCTTCTCCGTTAGGGTCCTCTCCCACTTGGCTCTGCTCGGCTGGGCAGTGCCTCACCCAGCTGCGCTGCCCTTGCCTCCGCAGCTCCCTTCTCTTCACGGCCCCTGGCTGACTCATCGTTCAAGGTTCAGCTCAAGCCCTACCCTGTGATTCATCACCTTTGCTGGCTCCACTGTCTGAAAGAGCTCTCCCTTCTGCATGGCCTGTCTCCGTAGAGTAGATCACTGTGTTGTTTTACCATTCGTCCCAGGCTTGTTTCTCCACCTGGGTTAGATGCTTTCTGAGAGCAAGAACTAAATATCGTTAGCTTCCTGAGGGCGGGGGTTCTATAAGGTACTTAGCCCGGGATGGCGTACCACAGAGGGGCTGAGGACAGGGTGGCTCAGCCTCACTTTACTGCTTCAGCTGCTTTCCCATTCCATGGTCTTAGCAAGACTTCAAAGGGAGGAAAATTTAAGTAAATGTGTGTTCAGGACACGACACAGTGGCTTAGTCCCAGCTGTGGTGGCATAGGAGGCAGGACATGGCTGCAGGAGACTGGGACCACTGGGCACTCCTGGGCTCAGGTCTCCGGTTGACCACGTGTGCTGGCGCTGTGATCCAGACTAGCTGGGAGGCCGTGGGGAGAATTGTGGCATGGATGACCCAGTCAAGGGTACCTGTCCCCCACCCCCGACTCATGGAAGAAGAAATAAATTTTTTTAAAAAATAGCTTACATAAGGAGAAATGTAAGAGAAATAGGGATTGGGGGAGAAAACGTTTGCAGTTTTAAAATATACGAAAGAATAGATGTCATGTTTCTGATGTTCCTGTAGGGTAGGAGAGCAGAGGACGGCTCTGTCATCGACTACGAGCTGATCGACCAGGATGCCCGGGTAAGTGCCGCGCTGCTTAGTCTGAGTCTCTGTCTCGTAGGAAGTGTCCGGGTAGTCTGTGTAGTAGTCCATTCCCGTGTAACAAGTTATCCCCAAACTTCCTGGCTTAAAACAGACATTTGTCACCTCCCGGTTTCTGAGGGACAGCAGTTAGGGAGCAGCTTCGGTGAGTGTTTCTGACTTGGGGTCTCTCATGAGGTTGTGGACAAGACATGGGCCAGGGCTGCAGTGGCAGAGAGCTTGGCTGCGTTGGAGGATCTGCCTCCAAGGTGGCACACCCACGTGGCTGTCCACATGGCCTGGAGGGGGGCATGAGTGTCTGACAGCAGGGTGAGTGCTCCGAGGACAAAGCAAGGACACCACAGCGCCCTGTACGCCCTCATGTCGGGAGCACAGCTGGTCACAGCTGCCCGACTCTATCCGTTAGAAGTGAGACGTTGGGTCTAGCCCACCATCCATGGGAAGGGAATTCAGCTCTGCCGTTGGAAAACAGGAGTGTCAGAGAATTCATGGCCATGTTCTAAGCCCACCGCAGTCGGAGGATGTGCGCTTCGTCTTCACGCTCTGGCAGCGGCCCTCAGCACACGGCGTGAGCGTGCAGGTCTGCACCTGGCGCACTCGCTCGTTCTCGTTCAGGCCTTGCTGGCCTACACAGGAGTGCCATTCATTCCCCGCAGGGTGTGGCCGGGCCGTGCACCTGGACAGCGTGCACACCAAGGAAGAACCAGCAGGCGGGGAAGCGGAGGGTGGTGACGGCGCAGCCAGGACAGGAGGCTAGCTCTCCACCATGGCGGGGAGAGGGGAAGGGCACAGAGGCACGTGCTTCTGAAGCTGAGCAGAACTCCTGCCGGTTCTCCTTCCGTAATCCCTGAGAGCCATTTGTTAAGCGGGGTCAGACTGCTGTCCCCTACCTTCCTCACTGGCACGGTCAGCAGTCGTCCCCGAGAACGTCGTGAGAGCTGCAGGAAGAAATCAGTCACATTCATTTCAGTGTCGACATTCAGTGTGTTCCACGCAGCGCTCTCAGCAGGATGTAGGGAGGGGTTGTTTGTTTCATTTTTGTTTTTGCCAGAGTACATGTGCATTCACCAGAGAGAGGGAGAGGGAGGAATCACCCATGATGGGGCATGGTCATGCTGCAGTCCCTTCTCCATTTCTCCATCCTGGCGGGATGTGGGGCGGGCACACACACGCACCCAGTGTGTTTCTCAAGCTTCTGGAACCAGGATTCAAACGGCGCAGTCAGCCACGTGGGGACTGGCTCCCTTAACCACTAGGCCAGGAGGCATACGTTAAGTTTTGTAACTCCTGGGTGGTAGAGGGTTGGTGAGGATCGACCCTGCAGAAACCTTTCTTCCTCCCACCCTCCCATTCGTGGCACTACGTATAGCCCCCAGGGTTTCCAGAAACTGAAATGTGGTAAGACCAGTTCCCTTCCCGGCTCCAGCAGCCCCTGGCACTCTGAGAAGCGTGGGAGTAGGGCCTGATCTGCAGCTGTTGTCTGTAGGTGCACTTAGTTTCCTGGCTCCCGGAGGCGGGGACCAGATGTGCTGACGCACCTGCGCTGGCCTGTCTGTGAGGGGCTCCCAGCCCTGGCTGTGTCCAGGAAGGTGCCCAGCACTGATCTGCGCAGTCTGCCGTCCTGTATGTCTGTGCTAGGGAAAACTGCTCATGGTTCAACCTTGGCCCTCACGGGTCCATGTTCAGCCGTGTCTGCGGTGCACTCATCCCTTCTCTTCCGGCATTTTGAATGTGTCGCTTCCTGGGTTTTGTGTGACATTTACACGGCCTGCTGGGGCTCATGTGGTGACCTCGTCCTGGTTGCTTGTACTCGTAGGATCTCTACGACGCCGGAGTGAAGAGGAAAGGGACCGACGTGCCCAAGTGGATCAGCATCATGACCGAGCGCAGTGTGTGCCACCTCCAGAAAGGTGGGTGCCATGCGAGGAGGCCCTGTGCCCAGGGCGGACGGGGTGTCTCCACGGGTCCGCCTGCAGATAGGGCTCGCTCTCCGGACATTCCCATGGGCTCTCTTCCTTGCCCTCACAATCTCTTTACCCACTTTTTCTATTTGGATCTTTCCCTTTTCCAAGTGTGTTCCCCTGCGTGGTGCTTTAGCGGGCTGCTCCTCATTGTGAAGTGGTGGGCTTTGCTGGGTGCTGTGTACGTGCAGTCTGCTGTGGCTTCCAGAGGGAATGGGATCCACCCAGGGGCGATGGAGATGTGAAACCACATGGCTCTCAGGACAGGGCGTGGGTACAGCTTCAGGCCAAGCCGGCGTGGAGTTGGCTCTCACTGCCCTGGCAGCTGCTCAGCCTCCAGGGTGCTCTGCGCGTCCTCACTCTTGGTCGCGATGCATAATGGGACGGGTGATCACCGATAGGCTTGGTTAGTGGCCCGTCACACTGGCTGTCGCTTCTCCTTAGTATTTGACAGGTACAAGAGCTACAGCCCTTACGACATGTTGGAGAGCATCAAGAAGGAGGTCAAGGGAGACCTGGAGAACGCTTTCCTGAACCTGGGTGAGCATAGACGGCCCCATCTTGGCGGACCCTGGGTCTCAGTGGGCGGTGCTGGAGCAGAAGTAGCCAGTGGTCATCCTGTGACTGCAAGTGTGTGGGAGGGTCGGCTTTGGCGTGATGTGGGTGGTCTCATCGTCGTAACCATGCAAACGGAAGAGGGCCTCCACCCACTGGGAGAGCGACTGTTACCGGGAGGGAAGAGGACAAGGGAGGAGATGCATGTGGGCACTTGGGTATCTGCAGCCCGCAGAGTCCCCTGGTTCAAAACCACAGTGGGGCTCAGTATGTCAGAAGGTGCCGGGCGGCCCTCAGCCCCTCTCACTTTCAGCCCTTTTCTACCGCGTCAGGCCACTTCCGGCTTGTCACGGCAGGCCCCCGACTGGTGAGCAAAGACAAGCACTCACCTGCCCCTTTCTTTCCTCCGCAGTTCAGTGTATTCAGAACAAGCCTCTGTATTTCGCTGACCGGCTGTACGACTCCATGAAGGTAAGGGTGGCTGCCAGCAGGCCCCGCTTCCTGCTAGACTTCCCTTCTGTGCCCCAGGCCAGTCTCCCTGCCTTTGTGGAGCAGGAGGGAGCCCACTGTCTGGACGCAGGGGCTCGCTAGACAGCTGTGGCTGGATTCATCAGGCAAGAAAGCCACCTTGCTCTCCCTCTTTTTTTTTTTTTTTTTTTTTAGAGAGAGATTTTTGCTGTAGGCACGTGCACTCACTGGAGATACAGAGAGACAGAGGGAAACAGAAAGCAAGAAATCACTCCCCAGTGGGGAATGGCCACACCGCCATCCCTTCTCCTTCATTCTTCTCTCAGGATCTTGGGCATGCACGCATGCTCACCCCCAGTGTGAGGTTTAAGCCACTGGGTCTGGGACTCAAACCATAGGTGACTAATGGGAGTGCAGCAACGTAACCATTATGCCACCTGCTGGTCCCCTTCTCTCTCTTAACTGTTTGAATCCGTGTTAGGGTCCAGGTAGGAAATTCAGTGCATGGGAGAGAGGAAATGCCAGCTGGTAATTTTGGCCTCAGGTGTTGTGGTGATTTCTTCCTGTTACCCTCAGAGTAAAGACAAGTGAGGAAGGGAGAGCTTTGTAAGCACCCACTAAGCAACAGAGATTGAGCAGAAAAGCCCCCGAGGCCTCCGTTATCTCCCTTACAGGTGAGGACACTGGCGCCCAGAAAGCCTCAGCCTGCTTGAGGTTACGCAGCCAGATTTGATCCCGGGGCAGTCTGACTCCAAAGCCATCCCTGCAACTCTCCCTTATTTTATTTCTTTTAAAAATTTATTTACCCACTTCTTCCAAGAGAAAGAGAGACACACCCCCGAGGGCCCTGAGGCTGCGATCCACCCACAGCCAGCCCAGACCACAGGCGTGCGAGTGCACCCAGGGCAGACAGAGGGTCTCCGAGATGTGAGCTCCGCACCTTCCTAAGTGGGTCCAGGCTCACAGAGCACCACAGGCTGGCCCTCTCCCCGAAATAAACCGTCTCTTCCCAGCACCCGCCCCATTGTCCACCCTCAAACGTGCCTGTCTTTTCTGGCTTCCAGACTTGGCTCATTTCTTCCTGGAGCACCTCCCTTGTCCACACAGCCTCTTTTCCCTCTCTCCGGGGCTTCACGTCAACCACAGCCTATCCTGGGGCCTCTGATCTGAGGCTCTGGAAGTAACCCCAGTGGTCCTCAGTGCTCACGCCTTTCTGGAATGGCACGCAGACATGAAAGTGACGTGTTGGCGTGTCCAACTTAAGGCTCTGAGAGCCGAGACCCTCCTGTTCCCTATGGGAACTCAGACTTCATCAATGAGCCTGGCAGTGGTGGGTGCTCGGCGCACACTCGTGGGAGCTCAGAACATGGAGGGTCTGCGCTGGTTAAGTTCTGGCGTGTGTTTAGAGCCCTAAGATGTTCGGGTTACGTAAGGGCACAGTTGCACTGTTGCGTGTGGTCTCTCGGAGTGTGGCATCAAAATCCCAGGGCGGTTCCACATGCCAGCAACGGCAGTAGGTCCTTTCTTAGGGTCCTGTCGTCAGGAATGTAACGTGGAACATCAACTTGACTTTCAGGGCAAGGGGACCCGCGATAAGGTCCTGATTAGGATCATGGTCTCCCGCAGTGAGGTGGACATGCTGAAAATCAGGTCTGAGTTCAAGAGGAAGTATGGCAAGTCCCTGTACTACTACATCCAGGTAAGGCCTGAGGCGCCGGGCGCGTCTGCTCTCCCGCCCACACGGCCTGCGTCTCTGGTGACCTGCCAGAGTGGTGGCGGGTGCCGGTGGGCGTCCTGCTTTTATTCTTTTAAGGTTTTTTACCGTAGGGCTTGTGCATTCACTGGAGAGAGACCATGAGAGGGAAAGTGAGAAATCACCCCTCAGAGGGGAATGGCCATGCTGCAATCCCTTCTCCATTCTCTTCCTGGGATTTTATTTTTTTTAAAGCACCATTTACAGTTTGTCCTGGACTCTTACAGAATTGGGCAAATATTTTCTATTCCCACATCTTTTATTCTACAATAGCTGGCATTTGGGATGATGGTCCTGTAAGATCTGCTGACATCCCAAAGAGACTGCAAAGGCCTACTAAATTTTACATCGTATTTCCATTTTGTTATCTGATTGTATTCTCATTTCTTGAGCAACCCTTGGTGGTAGGCCTGGTGACTTGTTCCTCTCCCACCAGTGTGCTCTGTCTGTGCTGGAGAGATGAGGCCTTCACACACGAGGAGTGAGTGCCTTCACCGTGGTAGCTGTGTGTAGTTCAGGCAGATTTGCAGTTCCTCTGTCTAGACAGTCTAGAAATTTCCAAAGGCACACCTGAGGTCACCAGGGGTGAATTTAGAGGTGGTTTCGTTTACCCAGGTGTACTAGGGCATATGTTAAAGGGAGGAGAACACTTAGACTTCTAGTGTTTTCTCACCTCACTGGCTTATTTCCACATGACCTTAAGGATCCATGAAACAGTAAAGTGAAGCAGGAGGGTGCCCTAGTGCTCTGAGGAGGTGGGGAGGAAGTGGGGGTGTTGGCAGTGAGTAGCCCTGGTCACTGAGCCGCGCCCGACCTCAGGGCCTCTCGTTCTGTGCCCTCGCTGTCATAACGGAACTTGACAGGGTCCCTGGGCCCTCCTGCGGCACCTGCCGGGAGGGCTCGCTGGGGAGGGCTGGGTGTGGCCCCTGCCTCTGGTCTGAGTCTGCCTGGGTCCCGTGGCACGGCCCCTCTGCATTGCGAGAGGTCCCGCTGTGCACCCGGGGTGCTGGCGTGCCTGGTCAGCCTGGTCTTTCCAGTCACGCGTCTTTTCTCTTCTTGGCCTTGTAGCAAGACACTAAGGGCGACTACCAGAAAGCGTTGCTGTACCTGTGCGGTGGGGACGACTGAGCGTCCGGAAGTGTGTGCCCGCGCCCCGGCTGACAGCTCCAGAAATCCGCTTGCGACTAACCGCCCCTGTCCATCCCTCGAGGATGACGCACGCTAACATTGCCCCGACCTTGTTTTAGTGGCCTTGGCCTTGTCTGGCTTTTCCGTCTAGTCTCTCCTTTAAGCCAAAGAAATGAACATTCCCAGGAGTTGGAAGTGAAGTCTATGATGTGAAACACGTGGCCTCTTGTGTACTGTGTCATAAACAGATAAATAAACGGAATTTGTACTTTAGAAACCGCTACTTTGTTGGTGTTGCTTTCAGTTTTAACATCAAATGTGTGTAGGGTTGTGTTGTTCAGCTGGTCGGGGTGCCCCCATGGGAAGAAAACTCTAGAACAGAACTGTCTCCATAGCTGCTATCCAGACGTGGCTACTTAAATGAAAAAACAATTAAGTTAAAAATTCAGTTCTTTGGAGCCAGCAGGCAGCATGGCGGGTGGGGCACTGGATTCCCACGTGGCTGATCACGGTTTGGGTCCTGGACCTGGCAGCTTATTTTTTCACTTTCTCTCTCTCTCTCTGGTAAGTGCACGTGCCCTATAGCAAGTTACCAATAATAATAAATAATATTTAAAATTTTTGAGTTCTTCAGTCTTGCTATTCCCATTTGTAAGGTTTTAAAAAGCATTTCTTGATTTGTGAGAGAGCATATACGAGCGCATGTGAGAATTAGAGAGTGGCTGCTCCAGGCCTGGTGGCTCAGGCAGCCAGATGCCATGTGGCTGACCGAGTGGTTCAAATCCTGGCCCCAGTGCTTGCGAGAATGAAGAGAGTGAGATGAGCACGCTCCATGGCCCTGTCATGCCACAGTCTCTCCTGTAGTCCTCTAGCCCGTGGGACTCGGGCACTCACTCACGTGCCCAGCATGTTTCAGGCCGACCGGACTGGGGGCTTGAACTGTGGTCTCCAGGTGGAGTCCGACTTCCCTTGGGCAGTGCAATGCCTGGCGTGACTATGCACGTCTACACATGCTTAGTACCCGCAGGTGGTAAGCAGCCAGTGTATTGAACAGCACGGGTAAAGAGCAGTTCCCTTAGAATAAAAGCTTTTTATTTATTTTCTACATTTTGCTATAGGGCATGTGTGCTCACCAGAGAGAAAAAGAGAGAAGGAAAGTGAGAAAGCACCCTCCTAGGATGGCCACAATGCCGTCCCTTCTCCTCCATTCTCCTCTTGGGATTTGGGGCATGCTTGCATGTGTGCCCAGTATATTTTTCAGGGTGCCAGGTCCAGGACTCGGACTGTAGTCAGCCATGTGGGATCCAGCTGCCTTCATCACCGTGCCACCAGCTGGCCCACGATGGACATGTTTATTGGGCAATTAGGTCCCAGCAAGTGAGATGACTTACAGGGGAGGAGAAGCCCCAGGCTGAGTGTTCATCTCGTTTTTCTAAAGATTAGTCAGGTGGGGACCAGCAGTTAGCATGATGGCTATGTCGCTGGACTTCCATGTAGCCTACCGCAGTTCGAGTCTCAGACCCGGTGGCTTAAACTCACATTGGGCGTGTGTGCGTTTGTGCCCAAGATCCCAAGAGGAGAATGGAGGAGAAGGGATGGCAGCATGGCCATCCCCCATGGGGGGGTGATTTCTCACTTCCTATCTCTCTCTGTCTTTCTGGCGAGTGCACACGCCCTATAGCAACAACCCTCTCAAAAAAAAAAAAAAATATTAATCAGGTGAAAACAAGCCTCAATGGGAGTGACAAACGGGGTGGGGGTGGTGCTTGATTCTATTTAGGGGACATTGCAAATACCAGTGTATGTCATTAGACTAATCAGAAAAACACCAGCCTGCTGAGCCTTGAGAATTCTCCTTCCAGTGAGTCAGGCTGTGGTGTGTGCTCACAAGGAAGATCTAACGGGAGTGGGCTGGGAGCACTGAGAAGACGGTGAATGCTTCAGCTGGGGAGGTCTGAGTTCCCTCCTAAGGAAGCCGTTTATGCAGCTTCGAGTGGTTGTAATAATGATCAATTGGTCATTCATACAACTTGCACACGTCAAAAATCACAGCATTGGATACAGCGAAAATGAACTCCCTCCCACTCTCCCCCAGTCTGCCTGTGGTCTCCAGAGTGAACTGGATTCAGCCCCATCCTCTCACGGGTAGATTGTGCCTATCTTCTCACGGGTAGACTCTGCACGACAGGCATGAGTGTCTATTCCCAGATGAGCAGGTGCTACTCTCAGGCTGCCGGCCGAGGACACTGGGATGTCTATCCTACGTACTTTCCTCAGCAGGTGCGGACCTGGGGTGAGGGGAAACTGATGCTGCTCCCTATCTTAGTCCATGTGTGTGTTGCTAGTAGAAATATCTGAGCCTGGGTGATTTTATTCATTTATTTTTTTCTTTCCTTTTTTTTTTTTCTTTTGGAGAGGTTTTTGCTATAGGGCACGTGCGCTCGCCAGACAGAGAGAAACAGAGAGACAGAAAGCGAGAAATTACCCCCCAGGGGGATGGCCATGCCGCAATCCCTTCTCCTCCATTCTCCTCTCGGGATCTTGGGCACGCACGCACATGCGCCCGGCGTGAGTTTGAAGCCACCGAGTCCGGGATGCGACCCGTGGCCGACTACGTGGGAGTCCAGCGACATAGCCATTATGCTAACTGCTGGTCCCAATTTTATTCATTTGTTTAGGCTTTTGTCATAGGGCATGTGTGCTTGCTGGAGAGACAGAGAGAGAGACAGAGAGAAAAGAGAGAAATCACCCCCTGGAGGAATGGCCACACCACAATCCCTTCTCCATTCTCCTCTTGGAATCTGGGGCACATATGCGCATGCACTTGGTGTGATTTTTCAGGCCTTCAGGTCCTGGCTTTGAACTGCAGCTGGCTTTAACCACCATGCCACTTGCTAGCCCCCCAAGCCTGAGTGATTTTATAATGAAGATGTGGGATCCAAGGACCCAAGCATATTGGTTAAGTCCAGTGAATTGGGAGCCAAATTCCATATGACTGACCACAGTTCAAATCCTGGCCTCAGCAGTTTGAAAAACATACTGGATGCACCTGTGCATATGCCCAGAATCCTGAGGGGATGGAGATGTGGAGAAGGCATTGCAGTGTGACCATGGCCATTAGAGGGTGCTTTCTCTCTCTCACTTCCCCTCCCTCTCGAGACCACACACACCCTCTGGCAATTACTACTACTGCTACTAATAAAAAGAAGATAAAGGGGGGACCAGCAGTTAGCGTAATGGCTATGTTGCTGGACTCCCATGGAGTCGACCACGGTTCGAGTCCCGGACCCGGTGGCTTAAACTCATGCCAGGCACGTGTGCGTGTGTGGCCAAGATCCCGGGAGGAGAATGGAGGAGAAGGGATTACGGCGTGGCCATCCCCTCTGCAGGGGTGGGGGAAGAGGGGAGGTGATTTCTCACTTTCTATCTCTCTGTCTCTCTCTGTCTGTCTGGCGAGCGCACGTGCCCTATAGCAAAAAAAACTCTCCAAAAAAAGAAAAAAAAAAAAAGATAAAGGTTTGTTTCCAAACTCACAATTCTGGTGTCTGGGAAGTCTGAAGGCCTAGGCCCACAGGGTGGCCGACAGAAGCGTAGTGGATGGTGAGTGCGGAGAGCGCGTTTCTTACGGTGCTCTGATAACAGCTGGCTATGAGAACTAACCTCTTACAAGAGCTCGAACTCCCGGGGCTTGCGAGACGTCACGAGAGTATTCATGGGACTATTGCCTCCACAGTACAATCACCACCCCCTCGGCCTTACCATTCCCCGATAGCAAATTCCAAAACGTAAAATTTGGAGAGATGAACTGTGATTCGAAACCTACCACCCCTAGGAAACCCTCCCCTGCTCCTCCCTGTCAGAAGACACCGCTGCCGTGTCAACCACCAATGCTTTTTCTGTCTTAGTCCGACTTGAATGTCTAAAGCAAAGCTGGCATTTCCCATGTCCCCAGACCGCCACTTCTGTCCACCCAGCCCATCCACACACTTATTTCCACTGTGTGCCCCAGCCCCGAAGGTTTAGGTTGTCACAGGGCACATGTGGTCGCTGGAGAGAGACAGTGAGAGGAAAAGTGAGAAGTCACCCCCAGCGGGGATGGCTGTGCTGCAATCCCCTCTCCTCTGTTCTCCTCCTGGGATTTTGGGCATGCATGCATGCATACTCGCCCGGTGTGATTTTTCAAGCTACCAGGTCTGGGACTTGAACTATAGTCAGTCATGTGGGAGTCTAGTGCAGTAACCACTATGCCACCTGCTGACCACCCCCACTAATTCTTTTTTTTTTAGAGAGAGATTTTTTCTATAGGGCATGTATGCTCACCAGAGGGAGAGACAGAAAGCAAGAGATGACCTCCTAGGGGCGATGGCCACACTGCAGTCCCTTCTCCTCCATTCTCTTCTCTGGATTTTGCACACACATACATATGTGCCTAGGGTGAGTTAAGCCGCTGAGTCCGGGATTTGAGCCGTGGTCAACTACATGGGAGTCCAGTGACAAAACCATTACACCATCTGCTGGTCCTTCTATTTTTTTTTAAGTTTATTTATTTATTTCTTCCACAAAGAAAGAGTATAAAAGACAGGCATCCACAGTGTCCTCATGCTGCCATGCACCCCCAATCTCAGTCAGCCTGGCTCACCATGTGCCCAGGAAGGTCTCAGGAAGGTCTCAGGACACAAACCCAGGACCTTCCCTATGCAGGCCCAGTGCGCTTCCTTTGTGCCACCTGACCTGAACCTCTTTCCCCTTTCTTAAAGACAAGGTCTGGCCATGTTGTGATCCTGCTGCCTCAACCTCCCAGCTGGGACCACAGGCACAGACCACCAAGGCCACCTCTCCTTCAGACAGGGCCTTGCCATGTTGTCGGGCCAGCCTCCAGCTTGTGACCTGTCTCCTTGGCCTCCCTGAAGCTCTGGGAGCACAGGCACCTGCCACGGGGCGGGGCAGGCAGCCCAGGCCCTGCTCCTGGAGAACCGCTCCAATGCTGCGTGCTGTCTGCTCTCAGCATCACGGAGCACGGGTTGCCTAGTGTTTCCGAAACTGACAGCGAAGGCCCTTGGAATTTGCTCTCTCTTTCTTCTGGATTCCAGCCTATTCTCCTCAGTCAAGCTGTCCAAACCATTTTTTAAAGTAAAGAGAACCATCTGGAGATTTGAGTTTTCTCCCAACTTTTTTTAAAGGTTTTTGGCACACGGCATGTGCGCTCGCTGGAGAGAGAAAGTGAGAAATCATGCCCCCCCACCGCCGGGGGTGGCCATGATGCAATCCCTTCTCCCTTAATTCTCCTCCCTGGATTTTGGGTATGCATGCACACGTACTCAGTGATTTTCAAGGTACCATGTCCGAGACTCGAACTGCAGCCCACCAAGTGGGAGTCCAGCGCCTTAACCACTGTGCCACCTATAGACCCCAGCAATTTTTATTTTTTTAAATTTGCTATTGGGTGCATGTGGTTACTGGAGTGTAGACGGAGGAAAGGGGTGATGGTCACATGGCAATCCCTTCTCCTCTACTCTCCTCTCAGACTGTCCTTTTCCCAAACACTTTCACTTTCAAAGAAAGGAATGAGGGCACCAGGCAGACTTTAACACATGGTGAGCAGAAAGCAGCCAGAACTTCGTACTTTTTTGAGGGGGAAAAAGGGCAATGGATGCAATGCAGCCGTGGACACTTACGGCACTGTGGACACTGTGAACAAGGGCTCTTTTTTTAAACTCTTGACTCAGGAGGTGACACTGAGCAAGGCTGTCACATTGCTCAACTCCACATGGCACTCTCTTTTTAAAAATTTACTTATTTTTCAGCTGGTACGTGCCGTGGTGGATAGAAGCACTAGATTCCCACATGGCTGACCACAGTTCGAGTCCTGGTCCTTGTGACTTGCTTTCTCACTTTCCCTTTCTCTCTGGCCAAATTGAAAAAAAAAAAAAAAAAGAATAATAAATGGAACTAAATGCATAAGTAATTCTTTTTTTAAAAAAATTATTTATTTTTAGTTTTCTTTAGTTGCCAGAAGACACATACCCTTGACAGAGAGAGCAAGAAAGTATCCCCCATGGGGCACAATCATGCCGCAATCCCTTCTCCCTTTCTTTTTCTTTTAATTATTTGTTTCATTTTATTTATTCATTCATTCATTTTAATTTGACCAAAGAGAGACAGAGAGAAAGAGAAGGAAAGTGAGAAAGCAAGCCACCAAGTCTGGGACTCAAACCCTGGTCAGTCATGTGGGATTATCCAGTGCCTTAACCACCACGCCACCTGCTGGCCCCCCTTCTCCCTTTCTTCATCCTGTTGAGATTGGGAGCACGTATGCATACGCATCCACTGTGATTTTCAAGCTGCCATTGCTGACATTTGAACTGTGGTTGGCCATGCGGCATCTGCCTCTCCTAACCACTAGGCTATGGCCCGGCCCACCGACGGCACTCTTCACACTCACACTGTAGTCTGTGTACATGGTGTCTCTCCTGGAGCTGTGCGCTGGACAGACGGAGTGGCTGTGCTCAACGGCTCTATGTCATGACCCTGGGCACGTGCGAGAGGGCCTTTTAGGCCGTGTACTGCACACTTGGCTTCCAGATTTCAAAGATGGAAGACAAATCTCAGCTGGAAACAAATCGTGAACCCTTCAAGTTCTTGACTTTTCCATGAACTCTTTAGCTTCAGACCCGTTTCACTGGGCTATGCCTAAATGGCCACGAGTAGGAACGTGGCCCAGAATGTACAGCCTGGTGGTGGAAATTATTAGTGAAGAGTCACGAAAGCAGGGAAAACCAGGCTCGCAAAGTGGCTACATGTAGCAAGAAAAATGATTTGAGGACGGAAATCTTTTAAATCAATTTGTAGTCTAAATGACTCCCATCTCTAGGCCGCTCCCTGTGTTTTGACAAACGGCTTTGGCTTCTTACCCACATCAGTTTATTTGACCTCCTTTTTCTATCAGCTACCAAAATGAAACCTTTGCTGTGAGCGAGGAGGAGGGAGCAATTTTAAACATCCCTTAGCAATGAGGCAGAACATGCTCTAGCCATCAAGAGCTAGTTGTTCATTCTATTTATTGAAAAAAGCCTGTAGCCTGATTTCTTTTATGCGAGTACATTTGAGCAAGCAAAGTTTATAGAGATGACTTATCTCATTACATTAGAAGAGTGATTTGCTATCTCAGCATCTATAAGCAATTTTAACAGACATTTCTGGATGAAGAAAAGCTTTTGTAAATATATGCGAAAGACGATTTCATCAAGCATTAAATTGGAGGTGCCCTGGAAAAATATTGCATTTGTGCATTCAATTAGCTTGATTGTGGCTGAATTTTGTCCACCGAAGGCAGCATTTCTGCAGGAAAACAGAAGCATTCCCTATGTCAGCAGCTTTTCTGGAACAGAAAAGCACACTGTCCCCCTTGCAAGTCCTCTTTTGCATTTGTGCTGTTCCCAGCTACACATCCCTAATCATGCTTCTCGGCTTGATTTCCACTGTGGAGTGCAGGGGAGAGTGAGAGAAAGCCACTCTATCTACACCTTAGAGAGATTCGAACCCAACTGTTTCAACTTTATTTTTTTTTTTTATTTTTTTTTTTTTTTTTTTTTTTTTTTGCTATAGGGTGCCTGCGCTTGGCAGAGAGAGACACAAAGAGAGAGAAAAAGAAAGTGAGAAATCACCCCCCAGGAGTTTGGCCACTCTGTGATCCCTTCTCTTCCATTCTCCTCTTGGGATCTTGGGCACGCATGCGCACGCCGCGGCATGCTTTACAAGCTGCCTGGTCCCGGATTTCATCAGTCCAGTCGGCCATGCGGATCCAGCTGCTTTAACCACCAGCACTGGCTGGCCCCGAATTCCACATGCTCTAGAAGCTCCGCGAGCTTTGGGCAAACTGGGAAGTGATCAAGGACTGAAGTTTCCCGACCCTCCTTCCTGGTCTCTGCAGGGCTTCACTCTCCTTGCAGGGTCTGCAGCGTGTTGTTGAAACCTCTGCAAGGCTGTTTGCACACATCCCTTTCCTGCAGGTAAGTTTACAAAGTCAGCCTTTCCTTCTGGTCCTGAAATGAACGCTTTGTCCTCCTATTCCAGGACTGCTCGGAGTTAGGAGGAATTGGAGAACGGTTGAGGTCCAAGAGAACTCTTTTGGAACCTTGAAGTCACAGTGAAGAAATGGTCTAAATATTTAGGATGATCACCAGCCCTCCTCCAAACACCTCCCCACCCCCACCCCCACCCCCGCTAATTTGTAGCTAAACCATCAATTTCCCAGTAATAAGAAACAAACCAGCAAAGACATTATATGCGTATAACCTGGCTGTGGGGCTGGCTATTACTTTTAAATAGCAGGTGAGGAAAATGAGAACTTTCTTAGCCATAATCCATTAACGCTCAAGGATATTATACTTTCAAGTAAATTTCTGGTTTTTTTGTAAAAGAATTATTTTCTTTGGGGCCGGCAGGTGGTGTGGTTAGAGGTGCTGGATGCCCACATGTCTGACCGCGGCTTGAGTCCCAGACCCGGTGGCCTGCTTTCTCTCTCTCTCTCTCTCTCTCTCTGTCTCTCATTGATCAAATTAAAAAAGAATAATAATAACAAATGGAATTTAAAAACAAATAATTCTTTGAAAAAAAGAATTATTTCACTTAACTTTATTTATTTATTTATTTTTAATTTGACCAGAGAAGGACAGAGAGAGAGAGGGAAAGCAAGAAAGCAAGTCGCCAGTTTTGGGACTTGAACCCAGTCAGCCATGTGGGAGTCCAGCGCCCCTCACCACCTGCCGGCCCCCTTTCAAATTTCTGAAGATTAATTAATGTAGTCAAAAAGCAGCAGAGTTTGGATTAGAAATAGAGAAATGTTTGAATAAGTTTTAGGTTACTACGTAAGTGATGTTGCCAGCTTTCAAATTGTACCGTGGGTTCTATTTTTTTTTAATTCCCAGAGGATGCATGGTTTTTCCAGAGAGAAACAAAGAGACAGAGAGAGGGACAGGAGAAAGCAGTGTCACGCTGAAATCCCTCTCATTTCATTCTTCATCCTGGGGAGTTTAGGCACACATATCCTGGCGTGTTTCTCAATCCACCAGGACCAGGATTCGAACCACTCTTGTCTTGTGGGATCCAGCTGCCTTAACTGCCAGGCTACAGAACTGGCCTTGTACTGTGGATTTTCATTTTACTTTTTGGTTTGACCATAGCAGATATGCACTCACTAGAAAAAGATGGAGACAGTGAGAGGGAAAGTGAGAAATCACACCCTGGGGGGTAATGGTCACACCACAATCCCTTCTCTGTTCTCCTGTAATTTTGGGCACACACGCACACACGCTGATGTGATTTTCAAGCCACTGGGTCTGGGACTCGAATCATAGTCAGCCATGTGAGAGTCCAGCACCTTAACCACCAGGCCTCCTGCTGGTCTTGTACTGTGGAGTTTTAATGGGAAACCATTTAGACTTAATGAATCACCTTTGTCCTAACAGATAGGAATGCTGATATGAACTAGGAAGATTTTGGTTTTCTTTTCTTTCTTTCTTTTTTTTTTTAGAGAGATTCTTGCTATAGGGTTTGTGTATTTGCCAGAGAGAGAGAGGCAGAAAGCAAGAAATCACCCCCTCCAGGAGGGAATGGCCACACCACAGTCTCTTTTCGTCCATTCTCCTCTTGGGATTTTGGGTATACATAAACATGAACCCAGAATGAGTTTTAAGCCACTGGGTTTGGGACTCGAACTACAGTCGACTACGTGCAAGTCCAGCGACGTAACCATTACGTCCTCTGCCGGTCCCAAACTAGGAAGATTTTAAGAGTCTAGAGTCATGCAGGCAATAAAGGACCTTGGTCACTTGCTTATTCCCCTGCTGATTTATTTGTGGATTCACTGGGCAGCTTACTGTGCGCTGGGCACTGAGCGAGCTCTGGGGATGTGGAGACAGGGAAAACGAGTGTAAGCCGAGGCCCACCATGCAGGCTGGTAAGGGCTGTGAGCGGGGAGCCGCAGGAGCTTGGGGGTCCAGAGGCGTGGATCTGCATCACAGATGAAGTGCCTGGGAGGTTTCTGGGGGTGGCAGTCCCTCAAACAGAATCTCCCTCCTCGTAAGGGAACTGTGTAATCACTGCGCAAAGTTGGAAAACACAGACAAGGGGGACGATGGAAAGTGGAATCACCTGGAACGTCAGCGGGGCCCGTCACTGTGAGCACACCGGGCGGGGGACCTGGCGGGAGGGGCTCTGCTGTGGTTGGCAGTAAGTGCATCAGGACAGAGCGGCCCTGTCCCCTTCTCAGAGCACAGGCTGGGCTTGGGCAAAGTCAGGCTTCCCTGGCCCCAGGGAAGAGTGATTTCCCAAGGTCAAATTCTAGAGGCCGCAGGCCTGGATTATCTCAGTGGGGGAGGGCTCTGGGGAGAAAGAAGCAAGTGACCCTAGAACACCTGGATTTCCAGAGAATGAGAGGGTCGTGCCCAGGGGTGGGGAAATGGCGCCCAGACCCCACGCAGTGCCTGGGTGTCCCTGTCTCTGACAGGGTGCTTGGGCATTGGCAGGGGACCAAACTCTGACCACAGCCGGGTTGGGTTCCTCTGGGACAGTCTTAGTGACTGGGTGTCACTAAGAGAACTGGGACGAGGCCCTGCGGGGTGCTGAAACCTGTTCTGTAGGGTTCTAGTCCACGGCTCCCCATTGGCCGGAGCAGCCCACATCCCTGATGGAGAGCTCGAAGGGGGTCTTTTCTCTGCACTTCCTGACTTCGTCTCTGACGTTTTATGATCCGTAGTATCCATCCCAGATCAGGCACGGTAAGTGTCCCAGGCCCCTCAGGGCCCCCAAGTTAGACCTGACTCGGGCTTTGAAGAGGCCACACTAACTTCTGTGAACCAGCAGCGAGAACAGCTCCTCTTAGAGTCATAAAACAGAAGCAGGAAAATGAAGTTGGCGCTGCAGATTTGGTATTTCCGGGAAAACGAACTGCAGAACAAAGGAGGAGGTAGGATCCGGATTCAGCTCAGAATAATTGCCAGCTCTGTTTGCCTGTGAGGATTCCAAGGCGTCCACACCCGATTTTAAGTAGGAACCAAGAGGGAGGGGAGGTGTGCTGGCCTTGGCCTTGGGCATCTTCATTCCTCCCCCTAGGTGAGGGCTCTGAAGCCCCACATGGAGGGCGGCCAGCAGGTGGCATGGTGCTGGACTCCAACATGGTCAACCCTGGTTCGAGACTCAGACCTGGCAGCTTGTTTTCTCACTTTCTCTCTCTTTCTCTCTGGTGCATATGTGTGCCCCATAGCAAATTAAAGTAATAATAATCATTGTAAATGTAATTAAATAAGTAATTCTTTTAAAACAAAACCTCACTTGGAAATTCAGGCCTGTCTGGCCCCTAGTTTCAGACTTATCCTGGCCTGAGTGTGTACCTTTGTTTTTGTTTGTTTGTTTGTTTTTGGAGAGGTTTTTGCTATAGGGCGTGTGTGCTCGCCAGAAAGACAGAGAGACAGAGAGACAGAAAGCGAGACATCACCCCCCAGGGAGGATGGGCATGCCGCAATCCCTTCTCCCCCATTCTCCCCTCGGGATCTTGGGCACGCACGCACACGCACCCAGCGTGAGTTTAAGTCACCAGGTCCGGGATTCGAACCACAGTCAACTACATGGGAGTTCAGCGACATAGCCATTACGCCAACTGTTGGCCCCGTACCTTTGTTTTTTTAATCGTCAGAAATTATTTTAATTGTAAGCTCTCCAGAAAGTAGGCTCCCCCCAGTGGGGTGTGGTTATGTACAATCTCTTCTCCATTTCCCCGTCCTGTCGGTGTTTTAGGTTTGCACACATGCCTGGCACATTTCTTAAGCCAGGATTTGAACCCTGGTTACTCAGGTGAGATCTGGCTCCCTTAACCACTAGTCTATGCACCCTCACCCCCACTTTTGAAAAAGTTTATTTCTTGAAAGAGGGAGAGAGAAGGAGAAAGAAGACACCCTCAGTCGGGCCCTCAGGCTGGATCCACCCCCAGCCTCAGGGAGCCCAGGTCACAGGCACACACATGCACAGAGAGGTCTTGAACTCGAACCTTCCATGTGGGCCCAGTTCCGTGACTGCTGCTCTAGTGACTGGCCCCTGGACCTGGGACACACAGCCACTCATGCCTCCTGCTCCTGTTGGGACCCTGTTGGCCTCCTCAGGGCTCCATGAGGGGGTGACTGTGATGGGGGCCCGTCCTTGTTCCCAGCACTGCACCTGTGCTGACACCCTGGGCCAGTGCCTGCTTTGCTCTAACTTGTTCTCTGCTCTAGGACTGACCTGACCTTCCGACACTCGGCCTTCCTCTTCCTTCCTTCCTGTCCCCCAGGCCCTGGAGCTCTTCCTGCAAATCCCCGTCTGACTCTCCTTGGTCCCTCCTAGGAGGGCGCACACATAACAGGGGCACTGAGCCTTTTCTTGAATTGTGATTTCTGGTTCACATATAATTATTATACATATCTGGGGGGAGGGGTACAGTATGTTTTTTTGGGGAAGAACTATTTTATTTATTTATTATTATTATTATTTAATTTGACCAGAGAGAGCGAGAGTGAAAGTGAAAAACGAAAACCACCAGGTCTGGGACTCCATCCACCATCAGCTATGTGGGAGTCTAGTGCCTTAACCACCATGCCCCTGCTGGGGGCTTTTTCTTCTAAAGCAGGTGTACAATGTGTCATCATCAAATCAAGGACATAGATGTTCATCTCCTTCAATGTTGTACATTATATTATGTTGTGTGCATTCAATATTTGTTCTAGCAGGCTTTCTTTTTGGAAGCACACATTGAATCGTCAATGACATTTTTGCCTCTGTTGCGGCATGCCATTTCATAACCTAGTCCACTTGTTTACATGCGTTCTTGTATCTCTTAGTCATTTTGTTCCTGAACTCCTCCACCTGTTACTCCGTAGCTTCCGATAGCTGCCATCACTCGCTCTACTCGTTTGCAATCAGGTGCTCCAGCTTCTACTAAAGAGTGAGGATTCTCAGCGTATGTCAGGTGGGGACATGTCTTTCAAAACCTGGCTTGTGTCACTTAGCACTGCACCTTCTAGGATTTCGTGGTTCTTGCTGGCTGAGTGGTCTCCCACGTACATGTGCCACATTTTCTTATCCACTCATCAGTTCTTGGGCGCCTCGGTCAATCCCATGTCTTAGCTACCGTGAATAAGGCTGCGATAAGCGTGGAAGTGCAAATGTGTCTCTACTACAGTGATTTCCTGTCTTGCGTGTAAATATCCGAGAGTGGAGTTTCTGGCCAGATGAGAGCTCTAGTTGTAGAGTTCTGAGGAATCTGTGCAGTTTTCCAGAGTGGCTGTACTGACTCACAGACGCCAGCAGGGCAGAGGGGTCTGCAGCCTCACCTGCACTGCCGCTCTTTGTGTTTTGATACTTGCCGTCTGGCTGGGGTTAGGGTGTCCCTCACTGTGGTTTCTTTTTCTTCTTCTTCTTCTATTTGGTTTTTTTTTTTTTTTTTTTTTTTGGAGAGATTTTTGGTATAGGGCATGTGCACTTGCCAGAGAGACAAGAGACATACAGAAAGTGAAAAATCACCCCCCAAGGAGGATGGCCACACTTCAATCCCTTCTTTTCCAGTCTCTTCTTGGGATTTTGGGCATGCACACACGTGTCCGGCATGAATTTTTAGCTGCCATGTCCAGGACTTGAATGGGCATAATGTTTTCGCTGCCATGTCCAGGACTTGAATGGCGGTCAACTACGTGGGAGTCCAGCAACATAACCATCACACCATCTGCTGGTCTCTTCACCGTAGTTTCAATTGCGTTTTGCAGGGGCCACAATTTTTGCCTTGTGGGCTCCACCCAGCACGGTAAATATGTTACCACTGTACCTGGGACCTCTGCTCTTTCCATTATCACTGATAACTGCGCGCCACTACAGCCCCCCTCGTTTTGTTTCGAGAGGCTTTTTCCATAGGGCGCGTGCACTCACCAGAAAGACAGAGAGAGACAGAGAGATAGAAAGTGAGAAATCACCCTCCCAGGGGGGATGGCCACGCTGCAATCCCTTCTCCTCCATTCTCCTCTCAGGATCTTGGGCACGCACGCACACGCGCCCAGAGTGAGTTTAAGCCACCGGGTCTAGGACATGAACCGCGGTCGACTACGTGGGAGTCCAGCGACATAGCCATTATGCCAACTATTGGTCCCAGCCCCTTTCTTCATAGGGGACACGTTGTTCCAAGACCCCCAGTGGATGCCTGACATTGCAGAGTCCGGAACCCTGTACTGGGTTTTCCTACACACATCTACCTATGATAAAATTTAGCATCTACATTAAGCATAGTCAGAGATTAACAACGGCAACAATAAAATTGAACGCGCGTGACAATGTCCTGCAGTAAGTTATGTGATACGGTGTCTCATAACATCTGACGATGCCACTGTGCAGTACTCACCTGTTTCTGGACAGCAGGTGACCTCTGGTACCTGAGACTGTGGCGGGTGAAGCTCAGGCTGGGGGACATGACTGCCCCTGGAACATTCACTAAGGTTCCCTTCTTGCCTCACCTTACTGTGAACAGCCAGCCGGGCACTGACGGACTCCCAGCCGGCGATTGTTCAACGTGGAAGACGTGCTCCGGCAGCTCAGAGCCCAGGAAAGCGCCCTCTCCGCGCCCCGGCTCACCTGCCTCTGCAGAAGCTGCCTGCTTTGCTGTCCATGGACTGAGGCTCTTCTCCACGCAGACCATCGGCTGGGAGGTGTGAAAAGTCAGTCCTTTCTCATCCTTGATTTTAAATTCAGTTCTCATGTCTTCAGCGGAGAATGTGGGTCTTAAAGAATGACGCGTGGGTGGGGGGCCAGCCGGTGGCGTGGTAGTGGAGGCACTGGACTCCCACACTGCTGGTTGGCGTTCGGGTCCCGGACCTGGTGGCTTGCTTTCTCACTTTGTCTTCCTCTCTGTCTGTCTGTCTCTGGTGAGTGCACATGCCTTATAGCAAACTGAAAAAAAAAAAAAAAAGAAAGAAACTAAAAAATTAATTTTTTTAAAAGAACAGATTGAGGACATAGGGTAGGGAATGTTGAAGGGGCTACGAGGAAGGCTGCGGCATACCTGGAAACTCAGAATAAACAAGACGTGAGACTGGAGGGCCAGAGGAGATGGGCCATCAGTTCTTTCCAGTGCATGCTGGCTTAGACACGAGACGGTGTGGAGGGCTCCTCCTTAGAGATGAATCAAACAGATCATCCCCCATCACACAGGGGACCCAGGGTCGCTTTGTCAGGGCCTGGCTCTGAGGCTGTAAGGCCCTGCTGAGAGGGCAACAGGGCATCAGGCGATCGTCCCTGGACTGGGCTCACCCCATCACAGGTTCGGTTCCTGGGAGTGTCCTTCGAGTACTTCACGGGTCTGACCCCCAGCAATCATCATTTCTACCTTGCAGGGTCGTCGTGAGCATTCTGTGAAACGACATGTGTAGCAGCCCTGGCGTAGTTACTGGGGTAGAAGAAACGTCTCATTAACCAGATGAGTGAGTTCGGCACATAATCAGGTCGTAAATGAGGAAGCAGTAGCCTAAATACTGTGAAAGTCGGCCCTCGGGGACCCGGGGGAGTCTCTTCCTGTCATGTGGTACTTGCTTTTGGAAGGATCCACAGGGCCTTGGAAAATCATTTCCGGTTTCCCATGTGGCTTGTCCTCTCTCCGTGGCTGTTTCCATGTGGGACTGGGCCTCCTTGGTTCTGGCTTGTCAGCTAGCTCTGGGATGTGCCTCCCACCTCCTTCTGCTGTCTGTCAGTCAATTGCAGACAAGCTCTGGCGGCTTATCGATGGCTCTAGAAGCCATCAGGGAAATCGCAGGGAGTATCCGGCTCTCAGGGGGAGTGTGGATGGCGTCCCTGAGTTTCCATCCGCCATATCCTTGCTCTCCTCTGCAGTGAGGCAGGTTTTTGGTTTTGTTTTGTATTTTGCTTTAATTTCCATCGTCCTAAGATCTTACCAAGCTGATGGATGTATAGACTGATGATGGGTGAGACACAGTGGTCCCTGGAAGCCAGGCCCCCTTGTTTCTGAAAATCCTTTAATGCGATGACCTGCCACAGCCCGTCCCTAGGGCACAGGACTGCGGCGTCCCCTTCCCAGAGCCACGTGACTAGGAGCCTGCAAGGCACAGACGCTGGTGCAGGCTAGGGTAGCACGAGCCGACCCGGCTCAGAGCAGCTCAGGGCCCACGGGATTCGAAAACACTGGAGAGGTCAGTGTTTTCCTTCCTTCCTTCCTTCCTTCCTTCCTTCCTTCCTTTTTTTTTTCTTTTTCCCCTAATAACAGAAAAATGCCAGAATTTGGATAGTTGATAAAAACAGAGGTTTCTTCGGCTCATGGTTTACAGGTTGAAGACCCAGGGCCTTCTGCTGGCTGCATCACTACCTGGTGGAGGAAGAGAGAGTGAGGTCTGTGTTCCACGGTCTCTCGGTCCCATTTCTCTCCTTGATAACCCACCAGGGTGGCCAGCCCTGTAGCCCAGTGGGTAAGTGAACCAGGTTGCACATGGCCAACCATGGTTCAAGTCCTAGCCCTGGCAGTGTGCTGGGCGTGTCCCAAATATCGACAGGACGGAGAAATGGAGAAAGGGAGTAGCAGCATGACCACTGAGGGTGCCCCCCATGTCTCTGATGAGCAGAGGAGTCCCGCTGGCATTATTTAATGGCTCTCAAAGCCCCCCCACCCCCCGTTCGACACCATGAAGGTGTGATGTTTCTTAGTACCGTCACAACCAGATCTTGACACGGGAATCTGGGGGGACAGGACACACATCAGGGCACTGAGGAAGCCTGACTGCGTTTTCTCCTTTGCTTGGTCAGTCTCACCCCGAGGCAGTTCTGGCCACCCTTGGTGCTGTGGCTGTGGTCCTGCAATCACTTCTGGGGACGCGATGCACAGCAACCCATTTTACAAACCAGGAGGAGTTTTACTAGTAGAAAACGCATCATCATAGGTGCAGGCTTCACCTCTCAGAAACTTCGTGAGACTCTTCAGGAAAGGACAGGAACAGCGATGGAGTTTTCCCCCCTCCTTGCTCAGCTTCCCACCTCTTCTGGAGTCTGGCCCTCGCGGATGAGGCCAAGAACCTGAGGAGGCCTTCTGCAAAGAGCCTGAAGGTGCAGGTGGGCGCAGAGGCCCTTGTAGCTTACGGACATGGGAGAAGGGGCATGGCAGCAGCAGTGAACCTCCTCAGGGCCTAGGGTTTGTTCTGAGGCACCGCCGTTTCCTCCTCTGTTCTCAGAACCTGAACCTGCAGCAGATGTGGAGTGGAGGACGCCTCCTCCCTCTGTGTCAGAGAAGTATGAAAGGGAGCTGGGGAAAGGCGTGGGCGTGGAGGAGGAAGAGGAAGGCAGAGTGAGGAAGGCACAGGGCGAGGCTGGGGAGAAGTGGTGAGCGGGCATCCTCTCCGGGCCGGCCCCCAGGCTTACACAGCCCCGCTCTAAAGGCCCCATGAGCAGAGGCCAGGCCCAGGAGTCAGGGGGCTGGAGTAACAGCCCATCGGAATGCTTTAATCTGGGGCTTGGTGCTTGAGAGGTTAAGGGTAAGAATTTAGCGTTCTCTCATCTGCACTAAAGGACCCAGTGGGGGGGGGGGTGTTTATACGTTCTGAGGTTTGTTTTTGCTTTTTTTTTTTTCTGCCAGAAAGGGCATGCTCTCATATGTGTGTGTGAGAGAGAGAACCCCACGGAGAATAGTCACATCAAAGTCCCTTCTCTCCATTCTCCTTTGGGAATTTGGGGTCATAATCACAGGTACTTAGTATGTTTCTCAAGCTGCCAGTTCTGGGGCTTGAACCAGCTGCTCAGCTATATGGGATCCAACTCTTATCCACCAGGTCATGAAGCCACCCAATTCTAGTTTTTTCTACTAAAATCCATGAACTACTCAGAAGTGTGCCTTGTCAGCCAATCCACACTAGCTACCTTCTAAAAACTAAGAAAAGATTTTTCACACTTACTTTAATTTTATTTATTATTATAACTTTTTAATTTGACGAGAGAGCGGGGGGAGAGGGAAAATGAGAAAAGCAAACTACCATGGCAGGACTCAAACCATACTTGGCCACATGGGAGTCTAGTGCCTTAACCACCACGCCACCTGCTGGTCCCAGGCAGTGTGTTTTGAGCTCTCTGCGCCAGGCACTGTTACGTGCTTGACCTGATTATGACATTTAATTCCTGCCACATGCCCAGGCAGGAGGTACAAGACGCCCAGCCAGCTGGTGACAGGCTCAGTGAGGTGAGCGACCGTCCCAGAGACTCATAGCTGGTAAGAGGCAGAACCCAGGGGCTGGCTCGGTGGCGAGTGGTAATGAGCTATTTCAGAGAAGCCACAGGCAGCTCCCGCCGAATCCCAGTTCCTGTGGCTGCCTGAAACACGTCGGGGATGCCTGGGAGTGCCCAGATCTGCTGGGCGGGAGGGATGGAGGACGGGACCCTGTGGAGGGTGTCTCAGAAGCAGAAGTCTCTCATTATCGTCTTCATTTGCAGTTTCCTAATGACAATTGATGATGAGCACGACTTTACATACTAATTTGCCTTCGTGGGGTATCTGCTCAGATCTTTTGCCTCTTTTTATTCTGTTGTTTTGTAGTGGTTGAGTTTTAAGAGTTCTTTCGTATTTTAAAAACGAGGCCTTTATCTGTAATGTGTTCTGCAAATATTTTCTCCAGCCTTCTGCCTTGTCTTTTCATTTTCTTCAGTGTCTTTCACAGAACAGAATATTTACATTTCTTTCTTTTTTTATTTTACTAAAAATTTTTTAAAAATTTTATTTAAATGTACTTATTTTAATTTGACCAGAGAGGGACAGAGTGAGAGAGAGAGACAGAGAAGCAGAGAGACAGAGAGGTAAAGTGAGAAAGCAAGCCACCAGGTCCAGGACTTGAACTGTGGCCATGTGGGAGTTCAGCCCCCTTAATCACCAGTCCACCTGCCAGCCCGTTTTTCTTTTTTTTTTTTAAAGAGAGATTTTTTTGCTATACGGTATGTGCGCTCTCCAGACAGACAGACAGGGAGAGACAGAGAGACAGAAACTGAGAAATCATCCCCTGAAGGGATGGCCACGCCACAATCCCTTCTCCTCCATTCTCCTCTTGGGATCTTGGGCACACACAGTCACATGACTGGTGTGATTCTCAGTCCACTGGGTCTGGGTCTCGTGCTCTGGCTGACTACATGGGAATCTACAACGTAAACATTAGGCCATCTGCTGGTCCCAGAAGATTTAAATTTTAATGAAGTCCAACTTAAAAGTGTATTTCTTTCATAGGGGCCGTGTCCTTACTGTTGTATATAAAACTCATCACCAAGTCCTAGAATGTATGAATTTTCTAGAAAAAGTTCTGTAGTTCTGCATTTTACATTGAGGCCTATGTTTCATTCTGAGTTCATTTTTGTTAAAGGTATAGAGGTCTTTGTCTAAGGTTTTTCAGTTTTCATATGGACATCCGATTGTTCTAGCACCAGTTGTTGAAAAGTCAACATTAATTATTTTTTCCCTGTTGGCAAACTATTTATGTCCAGTTCATGACCTAGAGTGATGTGGAGGCCAGCTTTGAGAACCCCGGCCCGTCAGGGAGGTTTTCTAATGACTTCCACATATTGTGTTCTTGTCACCCATTTTCCTGCCAGACCAGAAGCTGACTCACCTGGTAAGACCTCCACAGGCATTGCTACCCTGGCAGTGCAGGAGAGGAACTGCCAGGGCAGAGAGGGGATATGGCAGGTCAGATCCTTCAGGAGGGAATCGTGGAGGAAGAGGCCATGGTTGGAGACTCCATTATAGAAAACTTGAGGGAATCTAATCAACATATTTAAAAAATTTTTTTTAAAGGTTTTTGCCATAGAGAGCATGTGCTCACCAAACACGAGAGAAGGAAAGTGAGAAGTCACCCCCCAAGGGGGACGGCCTCACAGCAACCCCTTCTCTGTTCTCCTTCAGGGACTTTGGGCATGCACGCACACATGCCGGAAGTGATTTCCAAGCCACCAGGTCCGGGACTCTAACTGCAGTTGGCCACGTGGGATCCAGCACCTAAACCACCATGCCACCAGCTGGTCCATTGACATACTTTTGAGATTGAGTTCGCCTTTCAGGAAAAATGTACCATCTTGTAAAACACACACAAACACACACACACACACACACACACACACGCACACATACACCCTCTCTCTCTCCCAAGGTCTGGAGTTCACCAGGAGCACCTTCAACACCCCTCACCAGAGCTTGGGTAAGCCATAAAAGAGACCTCCATTATCAACACCTCATCCTTATGGAAGTGGGGGGGGGCAGTGTCAAGATTTATGTTTTTTTTAATAAGTTTTTTTTTTTTTTTGGAGAGGTTTTTGCTATAGGGTGCGTGCGCTCGCCATAAAGACAGAGAGAGACAGAGAGACAGAAAGCAAGAAATCACCTCCCCCACCAGGGGGGATGGCCACGCCGCAATCCCTTCTCCTCTGTTCTCCTCTTGGGATCTTGGGCACACACGCACACGTGCCCGGCATGAGTTTAAGCCACCAGGTCCGGGACTTGAACTGTAGTCGACTACATGGGAGTCCAGCAACGTAGCCATTACGCTAACTGCTGGTCCTGAGTTGTTTTTTTTTAAATAAGTTTTATAAGTATTTTTGCTTGTTACAATATTAAACACAGTCACATATGAAATTATTTACATATTTCACAATTCTGTTTATTCTGGGACTGTGTAAAAATCATTTAATTTTTGTGTTAAGGTGAATGAAAAATAAAGAAGAGTACCACCTGGTGGGGATGTCAGGCCGTGCGGGAGGCCCGCCAGCCCCAGGACCCTTACGTGGATGTACACATCTTGTGTGCTCCCTCCCTGCAGACCTTAGAGCAACCGAGTAAGGGCTTGTCTTATTTTTTTAGCTTAAAATGAATAAGTTTACAGGCTTCCATTTTCGTCGATGACTAAGAGGTACTTCCTAACACCTCTAGGTAGTCGCTGAGAGGTACTGAACTTGGCCTTTAAGGAACAGCACATGAGCAGTTCCTTCACCTACTCTGATTTTATTCTGTATGAGAATTTTGGCTGACAAGCCCTGGTATGTGATCATGCAAGGAATTCAGGAAACTTCCAGGGAAGATACTTTTTAAAAAAATATTTTATTTAACTTTATTTATTCATTCTTTCATTTATTTCAATTTGACCAGAGAGGGATAGAGAGCGAGAGAGAGAATAAGCTGCCAGGTCCAGGACGCGAACCGTAGTCAGCCTCAGCCACATGGGAATCCAGCACTCTTAACCACCAAGCCACCTGCCAGCCCCAGGGAAGATACTTTGGATTCAGGGTGGATTGAGTTTTCTTGTAGCTTTCAAAGGCTGAGCCTTATCGTAAAGACTGTGGTTATCGTTTATTTATCAGGGTGAGGAGAGAGCCAGCGCAGAGCCATCCGTGTCAGGATGGCAGTGGCAGTAAGGAGGCGCTGCACTGGACCGCGGAGTACAGGCCCAGGAGGGCCCAGGTGCCAGCTAGGCAGAGCCCAGGCCAGGTCAGGCTAGCTCTAGCTCACACCCTCCCTTTCTTTCTTTTGGTCTTTTTCTTTCTGCCATAGGACATGTGTGCTTGCCGGAGAGAGACAAAAAGAGATGATAAGAGGGCAAGTGAGAAATCACCCCCCCAAAGGGGCATGGCCATGCCACAGTCCCTTCTCCGTTCTCTTCCTGGGATTTGGGGCACACACGCACACATATGTAGAGTGCTTCTCAAGCCACCAGGTCCAGGACTTGAACCACTGTTGCCCCTGTGGAAATCCAGCATTTCTTTTTTTTCTGTAGAGATTTTTGCTATAGGACGTGTGCGCTCACCAGAAAGACAGAGAGAGACAGAGAGACAGAAAGCGAGAAATCACCCCTAGGAGGGATGGCCACGCCGCAATCCCTTCTCCTCCATTCTCCTCTAAGGGTCTTAGGCACGCATGCACATGCGCCCAGTGTGAGTTTAAGCCACCGGATCCGGGACTCAAACTGCGGTCACCCCCGAATCGGGGACGAAAACGGCGGTCAACTACGTGGGAGTCCAGCAACATAGCCATTACGCTAACTGCTGGTTCCCAGGAATCCGGCATCTTAACTACCCCTCTCAGATCCTTCCTTTCAATCCCTGCTTTTTAGGGCGGGACCTTAGCCAACTCCCTATTCCCCATTGGGCTTTGGGTTATTATTACTTTTTAATCTATGAAATGACAGGCTTGAAATCTGTAATCTCCAATGTCCTTTCAAGACCGGATTTTGTTTTTTAGTTAGTGGGTATGTGTGCTCACCAGAGAGGAACAGAAGCTGAGAGGGAGAAAGCACCGCCTCTGAGGGGGCTGGCTGGTCACAGTTTCTCTTCTTTTGGATCTTGGGCACATATGCACATGTGCCTGGAGTGTCTCCTAAGCCCTGGGTTTGGGACTTGAACCATGGGTCAGCTAGGTGGTATTCAGCCACCTCAACCACCAGCCACAGAGCCAGCTTAAGACCTGGAACTTATGTGTCCAAGAGAAGTCCTCATTTCTCAATCCTTCATCTAAGTTTACTGCCCAAAGGCAAGAGCTTCCCCAAAGATTCATATTTTCAGTGAAGTGTCTAGGTAGAGTATTCTGAAACCATAAAAATAGTTTGTATTGCAGCCAACAGGTGGTATGGTGGTTAGGGCCACTGGACTCCCACATAGTTGACTGTGGTTCAAATCCTGGATCTGGTGGCTTGCTTTCTTGCTCACCCCAGTCCTTTCCCCCACTCTATTCCTCTCTGTTTAAATTAAAATAAATAGGGTTAAATAAAGTAATTCTTTAAAAACTAGTTTCTATTTTGTATAGTTGTCCAATTTTGGAGATAAATGGATATAATAATTCCCTTCAATATTTTCTGCCTCACTTTGAAATTGTACAGCCTTGTCGAAGAGGGTATAGAGAAAAGTCACTCTTTTTTTTTTTAAAAAAAGAACTTTATTTAATTTTATTTGTCACTATTATTTTAAGAGGTTTATTTAACTTATTTTTAAAATTTGCTATAGGGCATGTGTATTTACCAGACAGAGAGAGAGAGAGGGAAAGTGAGAAAACAAGCCTCCAGGGAAGGGACTTGAACTGCAGTTGGCCATGTGGGAGTCCAGCACCCCAACTACCACACCACGTGCTGGCCCAAGCAAAGTCAGTCTTGGTTCCTACTCGAGGATGGAGGCACTGGGCCCTGGCTGCCCTGGGGGTACATACTGCACCCCTTGCAGAGAGGTGTGCTCAGCGGCACAGCCTAACCAGACTCTCAGGCGGTGACGGCTGACATCCTGCACCCAGCCACAGCTGCCACGTCTGCCCCGTGCTGTTGGTGTGTGACAGTGACAGGACACTAGGGAAAATCCCTGTCCCTGACATGACCCACCGAAGGACATTTGCGAATGGCTGTCGCTTCATGAGGAAGACCTTCTCTGTCCTCGAGTGAGTAAGGAACATCGTCTTGCATTGGGTGCAATTTGTGTGTATTTTGCGAATTCTCATATCTTCAGGAACTCTCATGTGGTCCTGTTTGACGGACGGAATGCATTTTAAGGCATTTTCAGAGAAGAGGAGAGGACCCCAAATATAATAAGATTCTAGAAATTTCAATTATGAATTGCAACTTTGTCAAAATCGCACTATTGTGGTATGTCAGAAATACCCTTTAAAATCTGTGGAACAGAGACCAGCAGTTGGCATAATGGCTTCATTGCTGGACTCCCTTGTAGTTGACTGCAGTTCGAGTCCCGGACCTGGTGGCTTAAACTCACACCGGACGCGTGTGCGTATGTGCCCAAGATCCTGGGAGGAGAATGGAGGAGAAGGGATTGCGGTGTGGCCATACTCCCTGGTGGAAGTGGGTAGGTGGGTGTGATTTCTCGCTTTCTGTTTCTATCTCTGTCTTTTGGGCAAGCTCATACGCCCTATAGCAAAAAGAAAAAAAAAATCCGTGGGACAGAGGCTGTGTTGATACCATTTGACCACAAGAGGGTGCTCCAACAAAACACCTCACAGCCCGAAAATCTGTATTTTCCTCCTCAAACATTTACATGCTACAGTGTCTGGCTGATCTTATGACATAAAGCTTAATGTCACAAATATTGTTTCAAACTTTATGAAAAGAGGTGTTTTTTTTTTTTTTAGAAGGTTGAAAACCTGGATAGTGAACCCTGAGCACAAGTTAAACTACTTTGATTAGACGGAGGTGTTGGACGATCCCTCCACCAGTTCCTAAAAAGGGGGGAAGGACTTGCAAAGCTTTTCTTAACTTTAACCAGAAAACAGAACAGCACAAACTCAAAGCGTTTTACAAACATTTCTATTTCCACCACTAGAGCTCTTGGGGAACATCATCAGTTGAAGTTTGAAATCTGAACGATATACATAGCTGTGATGCAAACCTCGTTCTCTCATGGAGACATGAGCATCCCAGAAAATGCTGCTGCCTTCTCGGGATAGACTGAACGCCAGCGTGAGCGAGAGGCTCCACGATCCTCTCTGAAATCGATAAGGGCCTCCGGACTGTCTTTCCC